TATCATCTCACGTATTGTATTATTCCGCCCATGGGAGTTACTTATTTCTCACCTAGTATTGTAGTATTGCCAAGCTGCTGGTAGTACCATTGTATATCACTTTAGGAGCCCCTAGTATCGGAGTCCGAGGATGAGATAGCAGCCTCGGGAGATACCACTGAGCGGAAGCAGAGAAGTGGGAAAGTTTCGGTATGACAGAGCGTAGGGAACTACTTTCAGGAGCACGCCGGGAGCCGCAGCCTTTCACGTGGTCCGACTGCAAATGGATGCTCTATGTCCTTCCGGTAGGGCACCACTTACTTGTGATTCTTTGAGTCGTACGCAGTTGTAGTTGATAACTCTGTTGTTCTCAGTCTGACGGACATGATAGGAAGTTTCGTTTTAGATAATTGTGTTGTTGGTGATGTTGAAGATGGGAGAAGAGGCATACCAGGAGATGGGAGGATGGTCGCTTGGAGACCAAGAGGAAGACTATTACCAGGTCATAGATGATAAGGAACTAGGCACAGTAGATTCTCCAACGCCATCAATGAGCTTTGCTCGGATAGTGCATTTGCATTCGATCTAAAATAGAGATGTTCCGGTTATTGTAGCAATGGGGAGGGTCAATTGAAAGAATTACACCGAATGAAAACTCGTGTACTGCTGGCAGAGCCGGGCGAGCGCTTATTGGCTCATCGTAGAGGGTTTTGGTGGGCTGTTGAATGGTCGCTGACAGGTGCTCAATGTTGATCCTAAGGCCAAGCACGGAGAGATACGGAATGCGTACAGGAAGTTGGCAATGAAGTGGCATCCTGATAGAAATCCTAACTGTGAAAGCTGCCTTGCACGCTTCCAGTCTGTGGCGAAGGCCTATGAGACTTTGGGAGATCAGAACAAGAGGAAGGTTTATGATACTAATAGAGGTGACCTCAGATGGACGGATTAGTAAGAAGTTTGTTGAACGAAGTAAAGAAAGAAAATCATGGGAGAAAAACAGAACATCGTAATTCGATAGGGTATACATTGGAGTTTCACCCGCTCTACGTGAAGTGGCGTAGTACTCTGGGAGAAACCCGATATTTGCGCTATGCAGTAGTCGTGAAATATATTTTGTATTAGTGTTGTTTTTCATATCACGGGTGAAACTCCATTGCACGTAATTTCATATAAAATCAGTGGGAATCAGTGCCTCCTCTCCCTATTCAGAAGTGTCAGGTGGTTTCGACTCCATACCAAGTGACTACTCGAGCTCCCATCGAGAAGAGGCGTGAAAAGCCAGAAAAGCATCGAAGAGGAAATAAAGAAGTCGAGGTTGGCGGCAACCTCCACGAACGTGGTCATCAATAGTCGTAGGCCTGTTGATATCATACTCCCTCCTGGCCGCAATGTTGAGGCCGAGAAAGATCGTCTTGCTGAGCTCAACCAGTTTGCAGGTTGGCCTTTAGGCTTGCCGAAAGTCTCTCTGGTAGGAGCTGCGAGAGCAAGAGCTGGTAGGCCGTGACTCATCGTCTATATGTTGAGTATTGGCTTTGATTGTACAGGAGGTGAGATGAAGAGCAACGGTGCCAACACAGAGCCAGATCGCATGGTGAGATTTTATGACTGCTCGCTCCCTCAGCGTAGTGACTCCGGCACAAAGCCTCGCTATCGTATAGTGACCATCCAGTGTTGTTGCTCAGCATCATCAGAGCTCCTCCGGAATTTCTTGTTGAAATACGATTGAATATACTTTCTGGGGCGAGCCGGGAGACGTGGGAGTTGTAAACGATCCTTGCATAGAGTCTTTCGGTCACTTGCTGGAATGTGGTGGAACAAGTCGCTAAAGTACCCTCGCGCAAATATGTCGTCGAGAGGGGGAGAGAAAACAACACTGTATCGATGCCGGGTCAGTTCAACGAACTGAAGAAAGAGATGGAGGCGAGAGAGGAGCGATTATTGCAACTATCGGGTACAGTTGAAGTTGAATGCAAGAGACCAGCCCCTCCTGCGGGAACTCAAGCTGCCCGCAATCGACTCAAAAGGATAACAGGTAACATTGTATACACCACTCTGCAATCTATGTTCTACTTCTGACTGGATAGGTTTCTCTCACGCCTCACTGTTCTCTTCTCTTGTTGCAGTAGTTATGTGAGGAATAAGCCCTTTCATAATCCCGTAGACGCAGTATTGCTGGTCCATTGGTATGTTAGGATATGGGAACATCGTATAACTCTTGGTGATGCTAGTTCGCGATAGTTGCGCCCATTCTCTGTGATTCTGTCTATCCTCAGCTCAAAGGAACGAGCTCCTTCAGCTCGAACATGACCTGCAGCGCCACGCCGAAGACCTCAACACTTTGTCTCAAGCCAAGCGAGCTGCCCGACAATCATGATGTCCATGTGTGTAAAATGCTCATTCATGGTGTTGGAAACATTTGTGTTGTAAGTAGCGGAGCACAACTATCGATCGTACTTCAATGAGAGCTTGTTTCAATGTTGGGTGATTCGATCACCTGTTTCATGTTGAAGTTGAGCTTCACACTACGGAACTCAACGACGGTCGTTGATTATGGAACTCATGGAGCTGCTACTGCTATACAATTAGTTCACGGAGAAGCCTGAAAGTATCTCTGTAGCCACTCAGGTTTTCACAAGTAGAACATCGACCGCCTTCGTATATCATGGCAACTGAGCTTCTTTCGCTTAACAACGGCTCTGGCCATTGTGTGGGTGTTATCCCTCTTTTCTACATCAATAGTAAGCGTACCTGCTAGCGTGAGCTATACGGAGGGTCGCCCGAAGTGTACTATTCCTAAGATCGGTCTCTAGGTTGGTCGCAACACCTTTTGAAGGCCTATTTCGCGTTTATGTATGCCACAATCAAGGACGAAGAATAGATGCGCATAGTCGACATTAACTAGGAACCAGATGGCGCATGATCATCATAATTGAAATACGGATGCAGCCTCTCCAGAAGGACCTCTACAGTAGCGGTCCCAAGATATGCTACAACTTGAAGAAGAAGTGTCTCATGAGAGGATCATCACGATGAAAGACGAGGTGAGATCCCCACCTCTTGTGCGCATTTATTTCATCGGTAGCGAACCTGAGCGATATTGCCGAACCGTTGCTCAACCATTGCTATTGACTCCGATGTTGAATATATACCTTTATTCTTAGCTTTACCATACTAGCCCCGCTTCATCACCTACCATTCGATCGACTATCTTATACAACTATCTGAGATAAGTTATCTGTATGGTTGGGCACCAATTCTTGCTCAGTACGACACGTCAGGTATCTTAGTGGAATTGCTCGTTGTTCTCACAGTCTTATTATCACATTACTAGGCTAAAGTTTCGACATGGCCTACGCTGACCAACGGATACACTATGGTGCCATTGTACTGTTGTCGTGTCGAAGTTATGTTGACCGAGACTAAACACAGTGCCAAGCAAGAGATAATCTGGAGGGTGAGAAAATAAAGACCAAAATGACTGGATTCATAACATAATCTATGAGACTCATACAATGGGATAAGCGAGACAACGACCACTGCTCGCCCCGATAATAACGCGCATAGAAAGGCTTTCTAAGACGGAGCAACAGTTGCCGCGATACCCACAAACGGGCATATGCAAAATGGGATGGGCCTCGCATTGTAGACACTGAAATGGTACGTGCGAACTACATGATTAACGGCAATCCGTGCCCCCCACAGTGTGAGGCTCACACTCGGCACCGCCAACGGACCATGCCTGAATCATGCACCACATCATCAAATCGTCTTGGATTGTTCGCGACTTTGGGGACAAGGACCAAGAAGTCGTAGCAAAA